ACCTTCTTTCATGGACTTATTTGTATAAGGCCCTTTGAGATCTGACATATGCTTGTTTTTCTAGCCTCATGACTCTGTTTTTCAACACACGGCTATTGCTCATTGCTCTCAGCTTACTGACTCCTTGTGGTTTCTAGGTTGTTTTATTTTTTCATTCTGCCAAGCCTTTGTAGAGACTCTGCCTATGCTTAGAACACTTTTCTTTTCTTCGACTGCCTCAAGGACTCCTGCTTATCATTCAAGATTTGGCTCAGACTTTAAGCCCTTCTTAACTCTCTTACTCTCATTTCCATTTGTTCAATATTTCATTCGTTCATCAAATATTTGTTGGGCTACAACTCTGTGCTAGATCTCTTTTAGGCATTGGGGATACAGCAATGAACAAAAACAATCCCTGTTCTCATGGAGCTTACATGCTAGTAGTGGGGAGAAATAGGCAGTAAATAAACAAGTCAGTAAATATGTAGTATGTCACTGTATGAGTCCATTTATATGAAATACAAAAACAGGCAAAATTAATCTATGCTGTTTCAAGTCAGGGTAATGATTACCCTTGGAGTATGAAAGGGGACTAGTGGCTAGAAGAGAGCAGGAGAAGACTCCAGAGGTGTTGGTAATACTCTGTTTCCTGATCTGGGTGCTGGTTACATGGCTGTATTCAGTTTGTGACAATTAATTGAGCTAGACACTTACACGTACTTTTCTCTATGTATATTACATTTCAATATAAAGCAAAACATTTATGTAGTATATAATAGATGGTGAAGAGTCATATAGAGAAAAATAAAGCAGGGAAGGCAGACTGGAAAGAGGGGAGTTGGGGGGAGGGAGGGTTGCAATTTTAAATAGACTGTCCAGAGAAAGACTCACTGAGTGTTTAAATTTTAACAAAGATTTGTAAGAGGGGAGGGAGCCAGGCCTTGAGGTGGGCAAAGGCTGACGGATGTGAGGAATAGCAAGGATGCCAGTGATTGGAATGGTGAGAATGTGTGGGAGAGTATAAGAGATAATATCAGAAAGATAACAGGAGGCTGGATTGCATGTGCCTTATAGGCCATTGTAAAGCTTTTGGCTTTTGCTCCTACTATGGGAAGAGATGGAAAGCTATTGGAAGGTTTTGAACAGACTGAAATGATCTGACTTATATTTTCTTTTTTTTTTTTAAATTTTTTGTTTATTGCAGTAACATTGGTTTATAACATTGTATAAATTTCAGGTGTACATCATTATACTTTTATTTCTGCATAGATTACATCGTGTTGCAAAGTGAAATAAGTCAGAGGGAGAAGGTCAAATACTGTATGATTTCCTTCATTAAGTAGTAGATAATAACAACAATAAACAAACACATAGAGACAGAGATTGGATTGGTGGTTACCAGAGGGGAAGGGAGGAGAGCGAAAGGAATAATTCAGCACAAGTGTGTGGTGATGGGTTGTAATTAGTATTTGGGTGGTGACTTATATTTCAAAAGTATCTTTCTGGCTACTTCTGAGAAAAAACCCAAGAGAGGCAAATGTGGAAACAAGGTGACCAGTTAAGAGGTTGTTATAATAATCCAGGTAAGAGAAGATGATGACTTGATCCAAGGCAGCCCTAGGGGAAGTGGTGAGAAGAGATTGGATTGCGTATATATTTTTGAAGGTAGAGCAGATAGGATTTGCTGACAGATTAGATGATGATGTGAAGGAAGGGGAGGAGTCAATGATGACTAAGGTTTTTGCCCTGAGCAACTAGAAGAGTGGAGTCACCATTTATTCTGATCAGGAAGTCCTGGAGTTTGGTTTGCAATGTATTAGGTTAGAGATGCCCATTTCAGGTATTTGAGAGACAATGTTGAGTAGGTGGTTGGATATGAAATTGGAGTTTAGGAGAGAAGTCCAGGCTTGAAACATAAACCTGGGAGTTGTCAACCTAGAGATGGTATAACAAATCATGAGACTAGATGGGCTCACCAAGGGAGTAGTCATAGATGGAGAAGAGTAGAGGTCCAGACACTGAGCCCTGTAACCCTCCAACATTTATAGGTCAGGGCAATGAAGAGAAACTAGCCAAGGAGAATGAGAAGGAGTAGACAGTAAAGCAGAAGGGAACTGAGGAAAGTGTCATGACCTGGAAGCCAAATGAGGAAAATGTTTCAGGGAGGAAGTTGTGTGATCACCTGTGTCAAAAGCTGCTGATGGGTCAAGTAAGATGAGGACAGAAGAGATCATTTGACACAAGGAATATGGCAACTTTAGGGGACTGAGAATAGATCACTGGACAGTTAACACAGAGGACAGTTTGTTTCATAAGGGAGCAGTAGAGAAACGTGTATCAACTGAGAAAGTTACATGGTCTTGTTTTCTTTTTTTTTAGATGAGAGAAATAATAGCATGTTTGTATGTTGATAATGAACAAATGGAGAGCGTAAAGTTGATGATGCAGGAGACAGGGAAGAATTACTGAGTAATGTCTCTCAGTAGGCAGAGGGCCTGGGGTCTAATGCACAGGTAGAAGGGTTGGCCTTGGGAAGATTATGTAAAAGGGGTAACAGAGTATGTGGGCACAGATGGAGAAAGGTAAGTAGTGCGGGAGCTTCTGGAAATTCTCTTCTTGCTTCTAATTTTCTTAGTGAAATAGGAGGCAAGTTATCAGCTGAGTGTGAGGCTGGGGATGGCGGTGTTGAAGGTTTGAGGAGAAAGCATGAAATAGTCACCTAGGAGAGTAGGAGAGATTAACTAAAGAAACATAACAGGCTTCCTGGGCGGTATGAAAGGCACTTGTGAGGTTCATGGCCATGAATTTAAAGTGAGAACCCTCAGCATGGTCATGTGTTTTTCTCCAGCCACATTCAGTGGCTTGTGTGTGGACACAGAATGGAGGAGAGTCGGGTTAACCAGATGTTGGGGTTTTGCCATGCAAGTATGACAAAGGAAGACAGACGCATGCTAGAAAGTGATGATAATAATCAATCAAGCAATAATAATCGATGGGATCTAAGCTGGGTTAGGAAGGATGAAGGATAAGAAGGGGGGGAAGGACAGTGGAAAAGTGGTAGGATCATTAGGTTTTAGGTCTTGATGGCAGCCAAAGAATTTTTAGAGTTGGGTACTAGAGAGAGTGAGCTAGAAGCATGGAAAGTAGTGATTGGGGAGTTTCAATGCTTGAAATTGAGATAATGGAGTGGTTGTGGTTATTGCTAGTGATAAAATCTAATTCTAATCATGGGGAGGGTGGCTAAGATAAGACGGAAAACAAGATCCTTGGAGGAAAGGAGGTCGAAGTCCTAAGGAGGTCAATGGATGGATCATATATGAGATAGTGACACCAAGAATTATGACAGAAGTAATGTTGGACAGCTTGACATAACCAGCAGCTAAAACCAAGGAATGTCGGTGGGGAGCAATAGAAGCCTGTAACATGGAAGGGTAGTGAGTGGAAAAGTATAATGAGAGGAGATTTTAAGCTAGAGGTGTGTAGAGAGGAGGGAGGGAGAATGATCTGGAAGCCATAACGAAAAGCAAGGAATTCACTTACCCTAAGTGTATGAAGGATGTTGGAAAGAAAACCAGCACTACTTGAAAGGGTGATGGGAAAACCAATTTCAGTTAGAGCAAGAAGGTGAAGAAAATGTTAACAGAAGAAGTTGAGAATAAAAGGAGTTTGCTGATGATTGATAGCAAGTTCCAGAGGGCACAGTAGCAGGGTTTCAGAAGTTGGGAATGGGTTGGAAATGAGGTCAGAAGAGGGACGGTGCAGAGTCATATGGGTCTCGGAGTCCATGGGGTGAAGGATACATTGGGGGTCTTGGGCTTCTCGTGGTGTTAGACATGAGTAGGGAAAAAGACATGATGAGATTAGATATGGTGGTTTCAAGGCAGACCATAATGGCAAAGCTGTGAATAGCGTGGAGGGAAAGAGGGTGATGGTGTTGTCAGGAGCACACAGAATTCTGAAGTCCTCTCTTTACTCTCTGCGATGGAGGTGTGAAGGCCAGGGTGGACCAGACTTATCTGGAGCACGTGGAACTCTGGGACTCCCTTTTGATTCTTGTGGGTGATGGCGTGAAAGCTGGAGAAAGAGAAACAGGACAGCCACATACAGCAGCTCAGGTTGTGCATTTTACAATTCAAGGGTGCTCCATCTATATAGAGTCTAAAGTGACTGGCACCCCCTGAATGAATGCAATGTGACTGCCCTGGAAAAACACACTCTCTATTGCACCTCAAACACATTATATTTACAAACTTATTGCATTGCTGAAATTCATTCTTATTCATCTTGCCACAAGGCTGTGAATCGCTCATGAGCAGGGACCACGTTTCCCTATCTCTCTTTTCTGGCTCCTAACACCTAGTAGGCTGTTAGAATAGGTGTTAGCTCTTAACTTCTGAGTCTTACCCTCTTGGCACCAGAGATGCAAAATAACTTGGAACCTTGAAATGGAAATGCACGACCTCCTTATTCCTTTTCTCAGGAAACGTCAGGGATATCCTCCTCCCTTCTCCCACTATGGGCTCACAGACTAACAAGCAGACTCTGCAGTCTTTCCTTGGCCTGGGATGAGTTCCTTCAGCATATACTGGAATGTGTTGGGATTTGCTGACTGATGACATCAGCTCCTCTTACATGTGTCTCAGCCCCACAAGCCTAACAGACACAGTGGTGCTACTCCAAGGCCCTGCGCCTGTTTCGCTTGTGTCCCTTCTCTCTCCAAAAGTTGGTGGGAAATATCTTATTCACTTCCCCTTTCCATTTTGCTTCTCTAATTGTTCCCCAAACAATATTGTTGAATTAATGAATGAGTAAATTGGAATTTTGCCCTACAAATGAAGGAGAGCTGCTAGTGGTGTCTGAAAGTTATTTAGGGCTACTGCTCTTAGGAGGAACAGAGAGAATTCATCTTTCACAGCTGTTCTTTCCTGTGTGACTTTCAGAAATGCACTGTAGTTGAATTCAGGGTTTGCCTCTAATATACAACTCTGGTCAACCATGTTTTCTTCCTTTCTTTTCTATAGGGAGAAGGTATCCTCACACTTATGACTACTAAGAGATTTGAATCACATCCGCCCAAGGACCAGACTGTCCTGCCTTTAGCCATTGGAGCTCCTGGTTTTCTCTTGAGGATGATATTCTTTTTGTCCCAGGCACCTGTCTGTTATAAACAGAAAAAGAGTAAGGAAGTAACAGGTCCGGTGTGTTGGATGTTGACTAAAACCTTAGGAGCTCCCTTATTTTGTCTCTTTTAGGTCTGTATGTTAAAGTCTTATATTTTTAAATCTCTAATTCTCTCTTTTATTTATAAGATTTATTTTTATTGACCTTATGCCTCTCACATGTTAAGTCCTCTGGGTCAAACTTAAAAATCTTAACTGCAAATGAATGACGAGTAAAAGCCTGATGAACTCTCCACCCTGTGTACATTTCATTGATGAGGTGCTTCAGTGACAGACACTGCCGGAGAGTTCAGGGCAGACCGGGTTTTCTCTAAGCCACATGTTTTAGGTTTTGGTAATGATGTTATATGGCACTTCGCTGATACAAAGGAGAACCTGAGAAAGAGACATCTTCCTAAAACTGATTATGGATGGGAATTGTTATATTTGTAAAAGCCCTCTCTGGGCATTACTGGGCAAAGGCTATGGAAATCTTGGAAATGCAAAGAAGATGAGACTAACTCTTGAACTCTTCTGATTTGCCCAAGTGATTTCAGAGTCTTTATTATTCCTATACCCCGCTTCCCAAATCTCTCCTATCTCTATGCTTTTTATACAGATTCTCCTCCTTTGTTCCTTCTGGAAAGTAGCCTAGGGGCTGGGCCTTGTAGGAATCAAGCTTAGGTTATGGGAGAGAGGAGAAAAAGGCACATAAGAGAAAAGACCAGACAGACAACTGTCCAGGAAGCAGAGATTTTAACTGGCCCAAAACCCAAATTTTTTGAATCACTGGATTCAGGTGATGAAATAATTTCTATGGAAATAAGATATATGTCTGCTTCTAAATCCTCCATAGAGGATGGCACAGGAAGAAGGCACACCAGGGAGGTTTGTACAACTGTACAGATTTGACGTCTGCATTTTAGGGTAAATTTGTACCAGGCTGAACTTTTGAGGTGTGTGCTGGAGGTTGCTGGGGGACCCACATTGGCTGGCATGACTCCCGGACGTGTCACCTCTGGGGAGACCAAGTTGGACTGGGGATCACATTTCAGGGAACTTCACAGGCCTGGCCTGAACTGCATTCACAAATCTACTTAAAAGAAACCAAAGCGGGAGAGGATGTGCAGACAGTGATTAGAACTAAATGAAGAAACTTATGAATTACTGACACAGGATCAGCAGCTACATAATGGAGAACACTAATTAGGGATTAGTGGTTCATACTGATGTGATCTTTCAAATAAAGGGAAACATTGTGACAAGGTAGAATGAGTATGAGAGGGACCCAGGTTTGAATCCTGACTCTGTTCCTTGCTAGTTGTATGGTCTTAACAAGTTCCTTAAACTTTAGGAACTGTATGTTCCTTATCTGTAAAATATCTTTTGCACAGGGTCATTGTGAGAATTATGAGAATGTATAATAGATGAAAATAATTGATAATAATAATGATACTTGACACTTACATAGCACTTTCTACGTGCCAGAGACTATTCAAAAAACAATTATATACATTAGCTCATTGGACTTAAAAAAAAAAACAAGAATGAGGTAGGTACTATTATCAGTCACAATAAGAACGATGTTATGATTCAGGTCAATTAGAAAGAAGCTGAAACATGAAACTAAAAATGACTGGCATTTATGAAAGACAAAGAATATGTGAGGATATATATTACTGACTACCAGCTTTAACTATGGAGTCTGAATTCTGAAGCAAAGAATTCTGAAGCAAACATTTTGCTTTGAGTTGTCCCTGCTCCTTCGAAAATGACAAATTCTGCCAACTTGTATAATTAAATCTAAGCTAGGAACTAGAAGGATAAAGTCCTTTATCTTTTGGGGGCAAAAATTTCCTTTCAAACATGTTTCATTCTGTTGAAATTTTATACAAGTTTTTTGGTTAAATATTTTATTCTTATTCATTGACAATCTTGTCTCTTATTTTCCTGGCAATACATTGTTTTTATAGGCTCTAACATTGTCAAGTTTTTGTAAAAGTTTCTTATCTGACCACAGCAGGTCAGATAAGACCTGTGCATTCCTGTGATAATCATCAGGGTGCGTTTCTTGTTCCTATCTCCTAAATTCATTTAAATTATTTTCCAACAAGTTGTGTTACTCCATTCCATATGTGCATGGTGGTTCCTTCTCAGTTTATTTAAAAAAAATTTTTTTCCTTGTCAGTTTTGACCTCTTGATAGAATCCACAGTATCATTTTCCATCTGAATTCTCTACATGCTATGCTCTCAGCATGTAGCATATATAAATCCAACCCATGGTACCATTTTTCTAACTGTGTACACTTTTTGTTAATGATGCCATGAGGGAGCAGGAGAAATACACACACCCAGAGATTCTCAAAAGGGTTCTTTTTCTTTATGATGGACTCTTTCAATTCAACATTTCCGTTTTTTCTCACTTGACCATCTTGTCTACACAAAAGAATACTATCTCTACGCTGTCTATTCCCAGCTCTCTATCTCCAGCCCAGATCTCTTCTAGAAACTTTCGATCCAACTGCTCACAAGATATCTCCATTTAGATGTCTTAAGGCAACTCAGATTCAACCCGTGCAAAACTGAATTCATCATCTCCCATTCCTTTCTCCCTTCTCCAGCCAAGTAACTTCTGCTCTCTTACCAATCTCAGGAAATGGCACCACTATCTACCAAATTGTCCAAGCTGGAACCTTGGAGTCATTCTTGACTGTTTATCTCAACTCCCAAAGCCAGTCAATAGCCAACTCATGTCAATGCTACCTCTTTAACCTTCTGTTAGTCCCCAGTGCCATTATCTTAATTCACGTCACCATTATTTCTTGCCTCATTCCTGAAACAGCCTCTAACTGATCTACTACTGCTAGGTCTTGCCACTCTCATGACAAAGGGTTAATAACCATATGTGAAGAACTATCACAAACCAATAAGAAAAGGCCAGCAACCAACAGAAATATGAGCAAAGGGAATGAAAGAAAAGGACAAGAACCAATAATTCATGGAAAGATGCTCAGTCTCGCAAAAGGAATAATGAAATAAATAAGTCAAAAATAAAGCAACGATGAGTTTCCATTTTTGGGGATTGTCAGAGGTCCCAAAAGTTTAAAGACACAGCCCTTGCAAAAATGTAGGGAAATAGACATGCTCAGTGTATTTTTGGTGCGAATGTAAATGGTGCAAACTCTTTGAAGGACAATTGGCAATTATAAGCAAATTTCCAAATCTACATACCTTCTAAGAGAATAAATTTTTTCACTGTATTTTCTTTGATACAATTTCTTTTTTTTCTTACCATGTGCCTTACTTTTTCAATAAGAAATAAGTGTTAAATAATTAAAAAAATTTAACTCCTATTGAGAGGACGACTCGCTCATTCAGGCAGGTTAATCATGAAACAGCCCTCAGCACCAGTAGTCCAGGGTTTACTCTCTCCATGCCCCTCATCCATGCTAGATTTACTCCAGGGATCTGAGGCATCTGCTTACATCTATCTACTCATTCATATTCTTTTTTCCCCTCTTCCTCCCCTTATTTCAGAAGTAATTCAAGAGGACTAATGGGAACTTGACACAGGTGCTCCAAAACTAAAGCTAATCAAAGTAATTTGTACTAATTTGCACAATTCATAATATTACATTTTGATTATAGTAAACTTACCTTCTGAATTATGCTTATTTCAGGCTATTTTAATTCATTGTCACTTCCTGAACATAAACATACTGTGATAACAAGAAAATTGCTCCCACAGCATGGTAGAAGGTTGGGAGGGGTCAACCAGTATTTAGAGTGGTTGTTGACAAGGTACCCTTCAAACTGGGTTTCAGATTCCCTTCTGAGAATGAAAATTTGACGAATTAAATTGTGATTAATGAGATCAGTAATCTGTAGCAATAACATAACCAGAGATTGCCTTTTAACATTTGATTCGTATTTGAGTAATACCCCAAATCCAATCAAGGTGACCTGGCTATAATTTTAGAGAGGCAAGACTTCTATACTTATGACTAAAATTAAGAAAACTTAAATCTCATCAATCGTAATGAGCTCTTTTGAAAGACAGAATTATTGGGGGTGGGAAGTGCATGACACTTGTAAGAATCACTTGGACAGGGAGGCGGAAGGCAAATATTAGTCTCGTGTCTCCAAGATGGAGCAGAACAGAGGGTTTTAACCAGTCGACATTCAGTCCACTTGGAAATATTTATCCCTGTGGGATACGTGTGTATCAGGTAAAAAGCCATTACAGTTATCCAACCAGACCCTGGCATGCTCCCTGCGCCACCTTCCCGGGTTTATTTGGCTTCTCATACAGGTTTATCTGCAGTCAGCAGCACCTGATGCTGTTCCAGTCTCATAAGATCCATGGGGGCTTTAGGAGTCACTTAGTTTAACCTCCTCCCAATACAGGAATGCTCCCTGACTTCTCATTCCAGGACGCACCAGCCATGATTCTTTTAAATAAACTTGTTCTATCAGTCCCTGAGCAAACTTTCCCTCCCAGCTGCAGTCCCAAGATTTTATTAGGAGAAACTCTTCAGGCCTCTTTTAAGGCTCCTGAAACACAAATCCACTTTTATGAGGTAAATGGTTAATGTTCTCACAACTTTATTTGACCTTGATTGGGGGGAAGGAAACCAATACAGCTATCATTTTAATTTCTTTATTTATCAATAGTATCCAATAAAAAAAAAAGAATCAGGAGTTACAAAAACAAGTTAAATGCAATATGGAAGCCTACTAAATACAAATACGTTTCACAAACACATAGGCAACAGAAATCTGCTCAAATTACTTCTTGAAATTGACTATTTAAAAACATAAGTGTAAAGGAAAGACATTCAGACTGGTCCACGTGGGCTTATTAGCAGGTGGAGGAGCCCTGCTTCCCAAAAACAGTGATGGAGTCCAGAGTCATGGCATGTGAGAAGGTTTCCATGGACACTGAATCTTAACAGATGCTGTAATGTTTATAAAACCATATACACACAGAGAAAACCCAAGGAAGCTTGCAGTCTAAGCCCCGTGCTTTTAGAGCTGGAGGAACTGAACCTGATTTAATCTTGTTTATTTGCTCCATGCAAAGCTCTATGCAAGACTCCCCGAACTAGGCTAGTTAGCAGCTTTCTGTGAATGGTCATCAGATCATGTGATTCCGTGGTGCAGGCAGTAGCTTCCCTATTTACAGGAGGAATGCAAAATTGCTCTTGGGAATTCAATGTTGCAGGGTAAGGTAGTCTTGGATGGCAACCACTGCCCTAAATGTAACTGGTGAGGAGACACTCTGGCTTCTGCCCTCTTCTCTTCTGCCCTCTCTCCCATAGTGTCCAGGGGCTGGCAAATTGATCAAAGCATGCTGTTGGGGGTTCTCCAAGACCCTTGGACAGTGAGGTGCATTTCAGACTGCACAAATGGGGTTCGAAGAGAGCTCTGAAGTGGGATGATATATAAAAGCTTAGAATTCTAAACAAAGTGGAGTTCTCCCTTCCAAGGAGAACAAGGAAACTTGTTTAGAAGGAATTCCATTTTCAGCACAACTTCCTCAGAGCTGCCTGTGCGGCACACCCTACATATAATTTCCCTCTGGTGGTCTGTAATCTGCTTTTTGAAAATGAGATCTTATGTGAAGTTTTTAATCTTTGCTACTCCAAATGCATCTCAGACATGGTATTGAGTGGGGTTAATAATCACAGAGGCAAAGAGACACAGGAACGACTGACTTCTCCCCAATCACGGTTTTAAGATTCAATTTCCATTTTTCCCCCCCTTGAAATGTGAAATCTTCTTTTGTCTTCATTTCTAAAGGGAAAGCCATTTCTGTTTCCAAGGTTAGAAATGAAATGCAAATGGGAAGACTAAGTGGAGTGGTTCTCTTTCCCACTTTCTTCCTGGGCAGGCTTCACCTGAGAGGGCTCTCCATCACACCACAGCCTGTGGGGCCATCCAGACTGAGGTCAGATTTGGTTGTCTTGTTTTTGACTGTCTGACTCTTCTTGTTATAACAACAAGGTTCCATTTATCCTAAGGAGAAGGAAAATCATAGGAGCCTGTCTTCTTCTGGACCAATGATGAGAATCACAGAATTTCTAATTTATCAAATAGAAAGGTTAATGCATTCCTACCTGCTCACTGAGGAAACTGAGGCCCAGAAATAGGAAGAGACAGGGCCAAAGTCACTCGCCACCGCTCTCCACTGATCCACCACTCTCACTGGGGGATCAATGAGCATCTCGACAGGCTGGGATATCTAAGCCTTGCTTAGCTGCACTTGTCTCCATCCTTTGGAATATTGATTTGCATGAATTTATCAGAATAAATGACAACAAATTAGCTTTTTGGATCTTGAAAGCTTTGTATGGAGATGCTTGTTTTTCCCCTGGCTTCTGTCTGAGGCACCCGCTGCTCCTCTGGCAGACTGCTGACGCACTGGAAGTCAGGGGGCCAAACTCTGGGCTGCATCTAGTATGTGACGAGGCGGGGGTGTCTGGGTTAGAGCGGTCCCTGCACCAGGAAGAACCCCAAACTCTCCCACCTCTGAAATGGTAGGACTACTGAAAAATAATTACAAAAGCTTAATTTCTAGTCAAGAAAATAAAATATTAAAAAACAACAACAATAATATAATGATAATACTTGAAGAATGAAGTCAACTTGCCAAAAAAAGTTTTACAGAAAAATAGCACCTTTGGTAAAAAGTATTTTAAAAATTTGGTTAGGTCTCTAAGGGGCTCAAAGTATACAAGTATCTGCATCATTTGGGTAGACCCTCCCAGAAACTCCATCAGGTCTGAGGGACACTGGGTAACTAGCAGGATGGCTGTGCAACTAGAGGCAGTGGTTGGGGCCATGAGGAGAAGCACAGGCCTGTTATGCTGATGGCAAAAGGAAGAGCCGGAAGCAGCAAGTGTTCTTCTCCAACGAGCTTCCCAAACCCCTCCTCTCTAGAACAGCCTGCTAGTTTCCCTCTGGCATTGCTGGCTCTCCCTGCAGCACGGTTATAGCTGTAGGAGACTCAGAAGTGGTTCAGATCTGGGTCTGCTCCTCTGCCAACCCTGATGCAGTTTCCTTATTTGCCTCCAGCCCCCGAGCACCATTTGCACAGTTTCTCTCAAAGCACTCCTAGAAATGAAGGCTATGGCCCTTCCCCTCCTAGCCAGCCACCCTCATTTCCTTTATTGCAAAACAAATAGACAAAATAAAACTCATTGCTATACAAGCAAATACTGGTGATTTGGCGGTTGTAGCAGACACGTGCGTATACTGGACTCAGCGCTGAAGGGGAAGAGGAGGTGCCAGGCTCCAGACACCGTTCCCAGATGCATCCTCATCAGATCTCTTTGGTGCTCACTCTCTTGATCTTTTCAGCTGTTTCCTTTGAGAAGCAAGAGAAATAACCATTATGAAATACAAAAAAAAAAAAGGGCTGACACTTATCTAGACCTCAAGACTTTATATAGCATTGACAGATACATGCTCATGCTGAATTTTATTTCTGTTTACTTGTCTGTCTCGGCTGTGGATGACGAACAACTCGAGGGCAAGGATCATGTCTTATTCGTGACTTGGTCGTGTAGGAGCTGTCACTGAATTAAGAGCTGACCCCACTTGAACGCCTATGAAATAATCAGGCCAGACATTATTATCCCCATTTTAAAGATGAAGAAAAGGATACTAAATGGAAGTGCTACAAGATGTTCTGAATCCAAGTCCAGAGAAGCGTTAAGAGCATCAGGCTCTGGAGGCAGACCCCCTGAGCTTGAATCATGGCTGTGCTATTTTCTGGGGGACTTTGGCCATATTATGAAAACTTCTGTGCCTTCACGTCTTCAACTACAAAATGAGGGTGATAAAGTACCACCTCTTACAACAGTAGCAGATTTCTCCAAAGATATTCTCACTTATGGCCAGTAAGCACATGAGAAGATGCTCAATACCATTAGTCATTAGGGAAATGCAAATCAAAACTACAGTGAGATGCCACTTCACACCCACTAGGATGGTAAAATAATGGACAATGACAAATGTTGGTGAATTTGTGGAGAAATTGAAACACTGCTGGTGAGGATGTAAAACGGTACACTTTTTTACACTTTGGAAAACAGTCTGGCAGTTCCTCAAAAGATTAAACACCATTACCATAGGATCTAGCAATTCCACTCCTAGGTATATACCCAAGAGAACTGAAAACATATGTCCACACAAAAACTTGTATGAGAATGTTCAGAGCAGCATTATTCATCATAGCCAAAAAGTGGAAACAACCTAAATATCCATCAACAGATGAATGGATACAAAAATGTAGTAGATCTACACGATGGAATGTTATTTAGCCATAAGAAGGAATGCAGTACTGATTCATGCTACAACAAGGATAAACCTTGAAAACATTATGCCAAATGAAAGAAGTCAGACAGAAAACGCCATATATTGTATGATTCCATTTATGTGTGTCCACAACAGGCAAATCTATAGAGTTAGAAAGCAGATTAGTGATTGCCAGAGGCTAGGGAAAAGAGAATACAGAGTGACTTCTAATGGGTACAGGGTTTCTTTTGGGGATGATGAAAATGTTCTGGAATTAGTAGTGATTATTGACAAACCTGTGAATATCCTAAAACACTAGATTGTACACTTTAAAAAGGTGAGTTTTATGGTATGTGAATTATATCTCAATAAAAAAATTAAATAGGAATAAAAAACAACAACAGTGCCTGGCATCTAGAGGATACTGTTAGTGCCTCATCCATGGCCCCTTGCCTTTAACGTTTCAGTACACTGCATGGCTTCTAACTGCCAGCACCTGCATCTCTCAGCCTGAGGCTTTCTCTGGCTGCTGGAGCCTGCTCTGCCCACACATGCTGGCAGGCCAGATGCCAGGGAATTCACGTTTCCTGGTAGCAGCCCTCAGCCAATGGCTGACAGGAGTTCATGTAGGAATAGCCCAGCTTCCCTCCCCCTCAGGTGTGGTAACTCTGCTCCCCGAGTTCCACAACAGGACTAAGCTCCACTTGCCTACAGTGCTAACTTGTCTGGATATACACTCTCGATTGCTTCCTCCCCTTCCTGGGCTCACTTCCCAACTTCCCTCCTGGTGTTTCCTGGGATTGCCTCCCTAATAAACTATCTGTACTTGAGTCCTTGCCTTAGCATCTGCTTCTGAGGGAACTCACATAAAACAGAGACACTTAAAAATGTTAGCTATTATAATTCACTCCCCACTTTCTACTCTGATCACTTCTTCACCCTAGCCGAAAGGAATTCCTATCAAGTTCTTTTTTTCTTTTATGGGGCTGTACTCATCTGGAGACTCAAGGCTGCTGAAACATGAAAAAGCAAAAGGCTGCTTTTGTTTAAAAAACTGACATGGGTTTCTACACTATCAGTGACAATAATGATAAAATGCATATAAAAAAACCATCAATAAATATGAGCAATTATTAAGCAATCATTATTAATATTAATAATTCTTTATTTTCAAGTCAAATATTTAATCTCAATAGTTAAGCAGTTCTTGTGACCATTATATTCCTTAAAAACTTATGTCAGACATAAGGCTTGTATTACGTAGGGGAGCAGAATTTTCTACCCCAAAATGTGGCTCTTTGGTTTATTTTTAAGAACAAGACTCAGGAAAAACTTTTGACCTTCCACCTAACTGTCTAAAAGAATTTAAGATAGAAGGCCTGTTCCAGGAAGGAGCTATCGCCATAGATCACTATAGTATAGTATGAACTAGGTGTGGTAGACAGGGAGGAACCTAGCAAGGCCCATTTGATCCAAGTCCTCTCCAAGTCTCATTGTCTCTGCAAGGCATGGCAAATGTTTGGTAAACAAACATTTTACCTCTATGTGAATTGCCTTCCTCCCCTTTAAAGTCTCAAACCACTACCCACAACATACTCCTTTGTCTTTAGCTGAAGATGGTATTTAAGGGGGTGGCTTCTGTCATTTTGGCGAGTGACTCAGTTTTCCTGGGTTTCTCCCATGTATTCATGTTATTAAACTTGTTTAATTTTCTCCTGTTATTCTATCTCATGTCAATTTAATTCTTAGACAAGCCAGAAGAACCTAGAAGAGTAGAAGAATATTTCTTCCTCCCCCAAAAATTACCAGACCCAGTCTACAGACAAGTGATCTAAGGTGCAATATCCTTTGTTAAGACTACATGGTAAACCAGTGGAAAGATAGGCCCAGGAGTCCAGCATATCCATGTTTTCTCTCCAGGCCCTTAGCAAATATATCAGTGAATCACTATTCTGCTAAGAAGCTTTTCCCCAAGAAGGCCTTCAACTTAATGACACTGAACCTGAACAGAATTCTTATTTATTATCTTCTCAAGTCTCCAGGAAGCAGAACCTCTAAGTTCCCTGTGTTTGTCAATCCTGGGCTGTGTTCTAGCCAGCTTGGCATTTAACTTAAATCCTTTCTGCTATGGTCCAAATCCACTAATTTCACACTCATTGAGAGCCAACTATATACCAGGCCCTGTGCTAAATGCAGGGATACAATGGTGAGCAAGCCACAGAGCCTGTCCTCAAGGAGCTCACAGTCCTCAGCTCTGGGCACTGACAGGAAACAGTAACACTTCCTTAGACCACGCTCGTTTGCAAACCACTTCCAACCTATTTGCAAATCACCACCTGGCTGATTCTTATTTATAAAGTGACTTACCAAGTAGTAACCTACATCTGCTGGAACCTGCTGGCCCCACAAGGACTCCACCAGGGAACCATCTGTATCGTGGTTTGATACCCTAGGTGTATCATTCAGGATCTACTGTATTGAACAGAGCATGTCTCCCTGGTCTCCTGGGGCATTAGGCAGCGTCTGAGTGGTGGAAGGGCCTGATGGTGACAGCAATACCTGAACCAGCATGGAGGCTACAACTCACCTGGTGCTTTTGGAGCTCCTGGACATATCTGGTCATCTCCTCCCCTGTCTGGGTCTGTGCCCCCTTCTGATTCTTTCCTGCAAGAAGAAATAAGGCTCAGAGCAGTGGTAGCTAAGGGAAGCCCGTGAGGGATCCCACCAATATCTACCTTTTAGGCTCTCAATTTCATCTCCCATTTAACGCACGGAAGGAGAGGTGAATTACCCGCATTTCTCTGAATATCAAGAGTCCTAGTGCAACTGACACCTCCAAAATAACACACGATAAACAAAGCAATCGACCTCCACTCTTCTCTGGCCTCTGTTCCTAGTGGCCCCTTCAACTGCTCCAGCATATCCATGCCAGGAGGCGGCCCTGCAGAAAAAGCTACGGAGAAAATCTGGGTCCTGACTCCGGAAGTTCCTCCGGGGCAGTGATTCTCAACCATTCATATGCCCTCAGAATGTCCTGGAGAACGTTTAAAAATACAATTGCTCAGGGGCCGGCCCCGCGGGTAGCGGTTAAGTGTGCGTGCTCCGCTGCTGGTGGCCCGTGGTTCGGATCCCAGGCGCGCACCAAGGCACCGCTTGTCAGGCCATGCTGTGGCAGCATCCCATATAAAGTAGAGGAAGATGGGCACAGATGTTAGCCCAGGGCCAGTCTTCCTCAGCAAAAAGGGGAGGATCGGCATGGATGTTAGCTCAGAGCTGATCTTTCTCACAAAAAAAACACACACACACACACACACACACACAAAAATACAATTGCTTAGATTCCACCTCCAGAGATTCTAATTTAATTATTGTGAGGTGGGGCCTGGGCACAAGGATTTTGTAGACTCTCTAGGTGGTTCTGATGTGCAGCCAGGGTTGATAAGCATTGCATCTAGCAATGTTTCCCAAGCTTGCCTAATGATAAAAAAAAAAAACAACCACAGAATACATCTTAAAAACACAGGTTCCTGAGCTGCTCTTTTGTGGATTCTGATTCAGCAGGTTTGGGATGCAGCCCAGGAATCTGTACGCTTATGAGCATAGTGTTTGTTGTTAGGAAACGCCACTCCGCCACGTCTTCCCGATTTCAGCATCAATCTGCCCCTCACAGCAGTCTCCCTCGGCTCTGGCTCCACTTGGCTTCACACTTCAATGCCCCTTCTTCTTTGCCCCATTGGGATTTGTGATCTGAGACCAGACTAACTTTCAGGTACTGACCTAAAAATGCCCTGGAATGCCACCTCTACAATGTCCTCTCAGATCCTTGGGCCACACACCAAGATGTGCTCAGGCCCCTGGGGCACCACCATCTAGAGTGCTCTTTATACCCACCTAGGGCTCTGAACCTGGGCCATCCCAGGAGGGTGGATGAGCTGTCCAGTGGGGCTGTGGAAATGGGCATTGTTCCATGGGGGTGATCATTTGGATTTTGTCTGATGCATGTGATAGGGCTTATCATCCAGATGACCAGATGACCATGCTTCTCCTGTAAACCAGCGGATCACCAACTGCCTGCGTCTTAGAAACGGATGGCTACTTCACATGCCAGACCAGGAGCAGTTAGGTGCGGAGAGCTACTACAGGGAGTTTTGGGAAGATGAGTACAGAATGCTTCCTGGTTGAGGCAGGCTGGGCAGTTTAGAGATGCTCTCTCTCGGCTTCAGTAGCTACTGTGTGCTTGGCCTCGCTACCCTGGCTTAGTTTTGACTTCCAGCAACTTCTAGGCATTTATAGTCTCTAAACAGCCTCTTCCTGCTTATCCACGTGTTTCTGGAATTAGGTTGGCCTCCTGCCTTCCCACACTGAGAAGCGACTTGGTCCCAGGCAGTGGGAGACTAGCAGTTCCCTGGGTAGTACTGAGTTCCATTTGTACTGCTGGTGTTACTTGGGCTTCTTGTCTGGAAGAATCTCTTCCCGGGTCCTTGACCTCTGTCTCCCAGCTACCATCTTACTTGACCTTCCTGAACATGGTCCTAGGACCAGCCTGCGCCTCCCTGCCTCCGTTGAATGTTTTAGGTTCATCCCATCTGGTGTAAATTTGGGGCTTGGTTCCTTCTAACTGACCTTTCTTTCAGACTGAATGTGACCCTCCATTCTAGATCTGGCTTCACCCTTCTGTCTTGCCCCCACTCTGAATGGTGCCTGGTTTTTTCCTAGGGCTCAGCTTTGATTCAAGAGTCCCTTTTGATCATTGGCATTATTGTAGCCCAGGATCCTAATGGGAACCCTAGTGGTTTCAACTGACCTTTTGGCTTCTGCGCTGGTCTCCCAAACTCTCTCTGTCATCTCTATCTCCCCAAACCACCCTGCCCATGTCTCAACTATCTCTTTTTTTCTTAGGATTACCCAATTCTGTTAATTTAAAGAGGGTCTACGAACATTTCTCCTTTTTCTGCTGGGTATAGATTGCAAGGAGTTGTTTTGTCTTCCAACCACCTGAGTTCTTTACACATAGGATTTCCTAAGCCGTCGTAAGGATTAAGTGAATTCATATGTAAAGTGCTTAGAAGAGTGCCTGGCACATAGTTCTCATGAAACAAATGTTTGCTTTCATTATTATTATTACTATTCCAATCTCATATCAACATTTGATCTTGCCTTGAGTCTTGAACATCTCTTGTCCCAAGCCTCTGGAGTGATTTTTGCACTTAATGCATCTAGCGTAAGTGCTTTGCGCTCAATGCTGCCCCCTGAGAGCTCCAACATTACAAGTCTGAGACTGTCACTTGCTGCCCAGTTCCCTTGTTCCAAGCACTGACTCTTCTCCATCATCCCCACCCTCATTTCTCTCATGGTGATCTCGTGAAGGAAGCTCTCTCCTTGCTGTTCTTTCTTTCTGCCTGAGGCTCAGCTCACCGTCGCAGGTCATGGCTGTGCAGACCCAGTTTCCGCAGGCGCAAACGCAGCGGTTACAGTCCACCTCGGTCTCAGCGCCATCCGCATACGTTTCATCCTCCAGGGCACACTCTGACGGGACCAGAAACAAAGGGCAACAGTTTAGGGTGATGGTGGAACACGACATCTTGGCTATAGTCTGTACACCTTACCCTTTTCCCAGGCAAGACCTGCCTGTCCCTCAGAGGCGCCATATCTGGGCAAATGCCACCATCAACCCAAAGATTTTTGGACCCGAACCGCAGCATGGAGATGATGGACTGGAGCCATCATGGAAGGGAATTTTCTTAGAAGGCTCTGGAGAGCTCCACCGATCCTCTCTATCTGGGCCCCTCAAAATGCCCCCACTCCCTTCAACTCCCTATTTCTTAAGTTAAGCATACTCTTCTCTGGAGGGTTGAAGGATGGGTTGAGGCACTTGAGGAACTCTTGGAAGCTGAGTTTCCAGTCAGCATTTTCATCAGACAGTTCAATGAGAGCATCAACACAGAGTCCTCTGAAACAAAACACAGGAGAAATGTGTCAGTAAGACCTCAGCTTCACTCCCCAAGAAAGGAAATAAGCATCAGGATTATATACACCTGGGCCCTCAGAGGAGGCCAAGGTGTCTGTTAATGGAGCAAGTTTCTCAGAACCATTATCCATCCTGACTCCTGTTATGCATCCAACTCTTGGTTTGTTATACTGGATGTCAGATCACTCAAGCTGTTCAAATGTTCCTCCCAAGACGACTACAGTTTCCTGAATGGTTTTGTCCACGTTGATTGACAAATGTTTCACTACTGGCACACCTTCCACTAGCAATTGCCTTTCCCCACAGTATAAGCATCAAGTTAACCAATGTAAGAAAGTCAAAACAGAAGAGATAGGAACAGATGATATGAAAGGAATGTTTGACTGGAAAGAATATGGAGTTCAAGCAAGCATAACCACTATCACCATTCTAGAAAGAGATCTTCCAGAAAAGTTTTCTAGAACCCCAGCTCTCTCACTCTCCTCTTGACCTGGACGGGAGCCCTGGCTCAATCACTTACTACCCCATCACTTCCTACCCAAATGGCCTTGAGCTGGTTATTTAGCCACTCTGAGCCTGTTTTCTCATCTGTAAAATGAGGACAAGGAGCCCTCCTTCACTGGGACCTTACGAGGCTCAAACGGTGAACTTGTAAACTATTATCTGATTTCAGGTTATCAAAATACGAAGGATTTGCAGATATTATACTTTAAGGCCATGGACTATTATTAAGAAAGAAGTATTCTAGAATCTGGGCTTCATGCTTTGTATTTCTTTTGAATGCAAGAGGTGCCTTTCCTATTTTTAATTCTCACTGATATACTGGAACCACACCAGAAGTTTCTTAGGGGTTTTTATTAATGTTTACTCTGGAATAATACCAGAAAAGGAGATGGACATGCTCACATTTGTAATAATTAGGGTTCTCTACATGAAATAGCACTGATAATCTTAAAAATCAGAACGAAAGCTATTTTAGACCCACAGTTAAATAATACATTAAAGTAATTCCTTCCGAAAATTAACCATTAAAACGTCACCCACAACACTCAGAAACAACTTTGCTTTGATGCAACCTTGATAATTTATTTTAAAATTACATTCTTCTATTCCTTGCAAGTTCTGGCCAAAAACAATAACTACTTGATCAGATATTGGTGCTGCTTAATATATTATTAGTTCATAATGTCCACAGAATAGACCAGGACAGAATTCCTATTTTGCTTTTTACTTCACATTGACAGTGGTGGCTCCTCTGCAGGTAGGAAGGGGTTCAAATTCCCTCTCCTATCCCGCCTTCCCCTCCTGGACGACTCCTCGACCTACCCACCTAAGCAGCTTGTTGTTCTCCTGGTCTGCATAGGTGGTGATGTTGATGGCGGTTTCATTCTGCTCCACAAATTTCAGGAATTCGCTGGAGTCCAAGCGAGAGTCACCATTATCAAAGTTCTAGAAAGGGGATGAAGAGATCTTTCGTGCAAGTTTTGTAAAACCCCGGTTCCATTATTCCCCCATGTGGCTTGGCCCTTCTTTGGTTCATCTTGTTCTCGACATGTTCCAACCCTGCCCTGGCCTGGCCTCAGGGAGCTACAGCAACAAGGCTGGAAGCCCTGGGGCACCCAGAGAAGGTGCCTGCACCCCAAGACGAGACAGTGAAAGTGCCTGGCCTGGGCAGAGGACACTGAGGGCCTTTGAAACCCAGACCCTGCTCAGGAGGGCAGCCTGAACACAGGCCCGTGCTGCCCAAGAAGCCTGAGGTGCTTGAGAGCACTCTGGAGCTCCATCCCTGACACAACCCGCAGACATTCTCGACTTTACCCATGGGTCCAGGCCAGCCACCACACCACATTCTCAAACCCAAAAGAACATGTAACAACAAAGTTGTGCATCAGCATCTCTGTGGCGGAGCCCAGGATGTGTATTTCTAACAAGTTGCTTGAGAATAATGAGGCAGGTGATCCTCAGAGCTCACTTTGGGAATCACAGGACCACTTCTTGCTGCTTGATTTCCAGCCTTCCTGGCCTGCTCTCAGTACTTAACTTTCACACTGGTACCCCTAACTGACTACAGAAGGGAGAAGTCAAGGCAAAGGCCCCAGAATAACCTGCAGGCAGAAGCAGTGCAAAGCCCCCCACCACTCTGCCCTGTGCGGTGGGCCCCACTGCAGATGTGTGCACAGCTCCTCGGCTTACCCAGCACAGGCTGTCCTCATGACCCAGCTGACATGCCATGAGCGAGAAGCAAGGGTATAGTGAGCTCGGGCATTGTCCCTGCTTTGGCAAGATACTAAACTGACACCTCAGCCATCTGGGACCATTCAAGATGCCCAGGCCCTAGCTACAGGAGGAGGGTGTCAATTTTAAGGCTCAGATCAAATTCCAAGTTGGACATTGCTGTTCTCCTAAATAGTTCCAATGGAAAACATTTTTTCAAAATTCCTTCCCTAGGCTGCCTCTTACTGCTGCTCTGGGAAATAATCATTACCTCTATGTTACTTGCAAGGTGGCTCCCCAGATAGTGTAAGGGATTCTGGAAGAAAACTCTGTACAGGTTTCCAGGTAGAAGGGAAACATACAGCCACCAACTCTCCTTCCATGACTGTCAAGTGTCACACGTATTCCACTCTAAGGTGGTAAATCTTTCATTGGCATGTATAATGACAGGTATGTAGAAAACGTGCAGGCCCTTACTCAGTACCTATTTATTTTCTTGTCCTAATTCCTAGGAACAGATCTCTGATATTCCCTAGTCACTATACATTCACCCTGAGGAAACTTCCCTAAGTGCTCACCTTGTGAGGTCTTGATTAATTAAAGGAGAGAAATGAAAGAAGGTTGGCCAGGTGCCATTCTTAGCAGCACCGGCCTTTCTTGAGTCCAAATGTTGCAAGTGCTGGTCAGACCGGAGCAACCCGCATAGACTCCAACACCATCAGGGCCTGATGACAGTGAGTGCAGGGAGAACAGCCCAGCAATGGCTGTAGACCCAGAGGGCATCACGGAGTCCCCGGGACCCAGGCAGTTCTCAAAAGGCAGTGCTGAGGGCACACACTTCACTTCAGTGGGACCAGAATCCAGGCCTGAAGCTGAGAGGAGATGCCAGCCTGACTGCACCCTTATCTCATGGGGGCCTCCCCAGGCCAGATCTGTATGTGGAATCCATAGGAAAACAGAGGTGTGGTCCCTGAACAGAAACAGCCTGGAATGCCTGGGGGGTTGTGACCTTGGATCACGGACCAACATAATTCACTCGGCCTCTGTTCAGCCAGCAGGTTACAAATGCAGTCCCTCTGTATGCCTGCATTTCCCAGTATACTTGAGATAACAGCCCTTTTCTTCTATGTAACCATAGGGTTATGGAAAGGCAGGAAGATGTGTGTTATGAAACCCGTATTTGGGGCTTACTGCAAGTCTGGAGACTGTTCAGAGAAGACGGGTTAGGATAGGCACTCACTCACACACAGCAGCTGGGGCAATGAGGGACACGACACCAGGGTAAGGAAGATAAGAAGGCTGAGATCCAGTTTCAGCCCTGGCCACCAGGAGGCTGCCCCCAGAGTTCAGGCTGTGTGTGACATGGCCCTGAAAGGCTCTGTCTCCCTGGGTCTCCCCTCTTCATTCTGCTATGCTTTCACCTAAGAAATGGTGGCTGAATCGCCAGTTGAGGTGAGAGTCTGATTTTGGTCTTATCCACATTCTGATTAGATTTGCTTTTCAACTAATTTTCATGTAAGGAATGTCAGCTGGGCTGGAGGGCAGTTCACTGGTTCAGAAACAGTCTCTGTGAGATATCAGCTCTCTCACCAACAGGCAGCTGTTTGCCTATGGGAAGGAGTCTCTCTTTGAAGATAGCACCACATGGGACTCTGATATTCATCAAAAAGTAGATAGTGAAAATGCTTATTCTCTCTGAAGACAGTGCCAGAGTGTCTGGGAAGAGTGAGCATTGTGTTTGTCAGTCATGATCAAGCTTTCTTGGCTGGGAGTGAGAATGCCCCTGAGAAAAGCTACTTTCTCAAGGGGCCCCGCAGTTTGCAGAAGGGAGCCTGTATAGTAAGTAGTGCCAGGGGAGGTGGAGATGTGTTGAGGGGGGTACGGGGCCCAGCTACTTGGGAATCAAATTAATAAGAGCTGTCAGTGATGCCTGAGGCAGGGTGCCATCAAGGGGCCACTATGAATGGTTACAAGGTCCCAAGAGGCCCCTTGGAAAGAGTGTCCTGGGCCCACAGCTGCTGTGCTCTAATGACCATTGCAAAGTCACTGCTCACAACAGATCCGGCAGGTGCTGCTTACTCAGCTTTTGAAAAATCATTTTCTTTAAGTTACTTTTTGCTCCTGTCTGACTCTCCTAGCTCAGCAATATGATGTGTTTTTCTGTAGCCAAGGAACCATCCCTGGCCCCAGGGGCTCCATAATGTGGGAGTGGTTGAGACAGAGGACAGAGTGAGAAGGGTGGAGCTTTCTCTCCCAGGTGTGATCTCAAACACTTGGAATCCAGAGAGAAACCTATAGAAGAGAGAAGCCTCTATCTAAAGACAATAACACAGGGGCCGGCCCCGTGGCTTAGTGGTTAGGTGCGAGCGCTCCACTGCTGGTGGCCCGGTTTTGGATCCCAGGTGTGCACCGACGCGCCGCTTCTCTGGCCACGCTGAGGCCGCGTCCCACATACAACAACTAGAAGGATGTGCAGCTATGACACACAACTATCTACTGGGGCTTTGGCAGAAAAAAAAAAAAAAAAAAATTAAAAAAAAAAATAAAGATAATAACACAAGCGGAGTCTTAAATGGCCAGATATTTCAATCCAACCCATTATTTCTCCATCTGTGGGGTCCATAATGTCAGTTAGAAAAAGGAATCCACAGACTAGGCTGGTGTTGACCACGTTGGGTGGCCACTGAGCTGCCAAGAAGTCCCTCATGGGTCTTGGGTTGCTCCTGAGTTTGGGCTGGTTAGCCCCTGGGCCAGCAGGCCCTAGAGGTATGTGATGAGGGCATGTACATCTGGGGATGAAGCATCCGAGCGCATCTACCCAGAGATGCATGTCTGTAAGTGAAGGGGGCTTTTTGTTTATGTGGGTATCTGAATGTGTATGTCTGTGTGTAGGATGTATCTGTGTGGCACGCACATCTCTGTACGTGGTGTGTGTGTGTGTCTGTGCTTCTGTGTGTGGTATGTTTTATCTCTGAGTGTGATGTGCATATATGTTTGTGTCCTCATCAGTCAGCTGGAAGAGCGCCCTTAACTGCTTCTTCTAACAACTGTCTCAAGCTCTCTGAAAGATCTCTAAGCCATGGTAGCCGTACTCATTGCTACATACTATTTCCTTCCTCATTTTCCTTTTTGGAAGCAGCATCTCTCCTGGCCCTAATTGGAGCAATCTGTCTCTTCAACTAAATATGATGAGAGCAGCAAAAACTAGGTTTATGAAGAATCCTGGACCCATGAAATACTAGTCCATTGACTCGTCTCAGATGAAGAGGATTCTGCAGGACGTGGATGTCAAGTTAATGACTTAGAGAAATATCCAACTGGGTGGGAAAGACGCTGAAGCGACCTGGGCCTGGGTGAGATCAGAAGGTATTTTGTAGCAGCAGCCAGCTCTATAAGGTGTCATATGGGATTGGGGGATAGAGCCTGGCCATATTTTTCATGGACAGGCTCTCTAAGACCTTTGTGCCTTTAACTGCCCAAAAGGAGCAGTTAAATTTGTGTTAGATCCCAAAGCCTTGACTCCTGGACTCCCTCTGATCAAGTGGGTCAGGAGGTGACTGTCACAGCTCCATGGAATGATCTATGATGAGGAAACACTCAGGGACTCTATGCAGGTTTATATTTCCTCGTGCTCCGGGGAGACGTGATCAGGCAAGGGGAGAAGAAGTCTCCCTTTCTCTGGGGCCGAACAGTCTTTGACCTCAACTCTGGATTACCTTAAAGTACTTGTCTAGGATTTCACTGTAGTTGCTGCCTTTAGAGAACCAGCCATCTGGAATGATCTCCGCTTCCAGCCACTGGATGATGCGACGCCGGAGCTCATCGCGGTTGGACTGATAGCAAACGACTGCAGGAAAGGGGAGGAGGTCAGCTGAGCGGTGAGGACCCCCATGTCACCAGCACCCACTACGTGGGCGGCTCAGTTCCCGGGGCTCTGCCTGTGCCATCTCACTGCATTTTCACAGCACTCCAGGGAAACAGGATTATCACAGAGGAGTCAACCCAGAGTACATGCTGGAAAGTGTCCAACCCAGGATTGAAGCTCATGTCTCTAAAAAATTTATAAAGACTGAGAATATTGAAACAGAGAGATTATGTTGCTTAGGTCAGAAAAAAGTAGAGCAGAAAAATAAAGGACATTTTCATTAATTTTAGGAAGCTAAGGAAAAAAAATCAATCGATAGAACAGCTCTCTTTGGCTCAAAGATGAGCTGAAACAGTAAATGAATAAATGAGAACATTATAATTCTTTATGCCACTGGATTTCTGGTTCTTTCTATATACCTTTTCCCTCTCTCACCAACTGGGTCTATCAAAACTTTCTCCCACTTAAAATTGTACACTGCCTGCATTATCCTTTATTATAAACAACAGAAAAGGAGGCCGAGGAAGGGCCGTGAAGCCCTGCTCTGGACAGCTGCTGTGAGCCATGTGGAAACAACAGGTGGACTGAGAGGTGGGGGGATGGGGAAAATCATCTGGGATGTGAAAAGGGCACTGGGTCAGGGGAATGGAAATCCGGGCACTGTCCCCACTCTGCCACTTCCTAGCTGTATGACTCAGGGAAATCACTTAATCTCTCTGAGCCTCAATTTCCTCTTCTATAAGGTAATTACAATAAGAGCTACCTCACAGGGTTACTGTGAAGATCTAAGGAAAAGTATACGCTAAAGGGGTCTATCAGCATAAATCATGATGAAATTTTCACTTTTACTCATAGAAAACCATGGAAGAAGTCTTATTGGCATTTCCAATCATCCCCTTTCAAAAAGAGTTGTGCTTTCTGAATCTGCTCGTCCCGTGACGTGCACATGTCTCGCAGAGTACTGGAGGAGAGACTCAGTGGCTTTCCTCTCCTCAGCAAAAATGGAAAACACAGCCAACATTCTGACCCAACTAGCTGCTTCAAATGGCAAGCACAAAAAAATGCAGTTTTGCAGCTTTTCTGAGCTGTGTTGAGGGCGACCAGCTCTAGGTCACAAGTTCTGACACACAGAAGATCTTGTGAGCTTCGGTAGGGATTGTGGAACGTGAAATTTCCATCTTGAAAGGAATCTCCTCCCTCAGATACACACTGTAGAAAGAACAGGCACTCACCTGGGCTGGCAGATGGACGGACAGATTTCTTCTCTGCAAGACAAAAGGAGAAAATGCATAATGCAAAGTGAAGAGAAAAGAAGATTTCTGCACATTGCTAGGAGTAAAACTGCCCACGTTAAGGGGGCCACTCGTAACCTCTTCATCACTTTGTCTTGCGTCCTTGTTCCTCTCCTTCTTCCAAGAATGGGGATCTTTTCTTCCCTGCATTGTTTGACATTTTGAGGCCCCCAAGTCCCTCCTGGTCTCACACCTCCTCCTGTTAGCTTGGGGGAGGGGGCCACTGGGACTTTGAGAATTCATATGGAATCATTATGGACTCATATGAATCATAGGGAAACGGAGTGGAGACCAAGATGTGGGAGAGAGCTTCCTGTTTCTCCAGGGAAGTTCAAGGCTGAGAGACGCTGGGCAGGGAGGTGGCTTGGCAGGGGCTGGTGTCTAATTAGCAACAAGCTTGGGACCCCTTCCCTCTTATCCTGATGGCAATGGTTTGAGTGTAAAACAGAGGAAATATAATACTACCAGGGCCGAGAGGCGTCCAAATTTAAAAAGCATGGGAAAAGTGAAACTTAACCTGCTTTCTAAAGAGGTACAGAATTTGTTTAAACACTTTCCTATTATTATTGATTACTGAGGTGGTCCCCTACCACTATCCAGCTACAGACAGTGCTGGAAGCCACCCTGGGGGTCTGATGCAGGAAACCCTGGGCAGAGGCCCCGGGCCATCCAGGGCAAACCCGGTAGGCTCATGAACGCCAAGAGGATGCGTCTCCAAGCAACTGGGTGGTCTCCACAGCTTTGGGCGCTGTGGTCAGGGTGGAAAGGAAGCCAGGAAGCTCGCCACACTGGTCTGTGCCCTGGCTTCCCATAGCCGAGTTGCCAGGCAGTGGTGAGAGCACGCCTTACCTTTGCAGTGTCCGTCATAATCGACCTGGATTTTGGAGCCAGTGAGGCAGGCGTCTCGATGCAGCTCACAGTGGTTGAGGTAGGTCTTGCCGTTGCTGCCACACACCGGCCTCTTGTGAGGTTTGCATTGCTGAAACAGACCCGCAGAGGATGATCGTGCAGAGGTGTGCACGTGTGCACGCACACGCACACAGAGCCATCTTGTGAGGGGACTCCCCACCAGCAGAGATGGCCTCTATCCCACCAGGGCATAGGGAGCCTCGGCTCTGGCACCAGTGACCCTACCCCACTCAATGTTGGAGGCGCCCCATCACCCTGCAGCCCCGCATGGCCCTCTGTGCCGATCCTGGTCTAGGGTCATCTCTTCTATTCAGGGAAGACATAGACCTCCCCTCCCCCTCCCTCTACTTTATCAATTAGCAGGAAAGACATTTTATTAGAAGTCAGGAATCTGGATTCTCTGTCACTTTGTAGAGTCACTCAATGCCTTTGGATGATCTAATAAGATCCCTTAAAATTCCAACATTCTATGACACAAAACAGCTAGAGCTGACAGCTAGAAATGTGGAGAGACTGAAAGGCAGGCAAATACACAGCCCTCCCTCAATTCTTCAATTACTCCGGAGTCCAACTATAAGGATCTTTGCTCTCTTGCATTGTTTAGCATTTGGCCATTCTGTTTTCCTCCAAATCTCACAAAGCTTGCTGTGAGGCAGGGGTGGGGAGGCCTGTTCTTTATGAAGAACTACAGAGAATCACGACAGGCAGGGAAATGGACTAAAGTTCACTTGACAACTTGATTCTGCTTTGGCTAAAGTGCCATGGTCACAGGAAGCTCAGTTTCTTTAGACTTTTGTGGTTTTTGAAAGGGGAAAGGGGGAAGCAAGTTCAGCTCAGACCTAATAAAGGCAGCAAAGCAAGAAAGAGCAGACGTGGTGAAAAGAAACACAGGACACTGGAACTGGAAGGTAGCCCAACCTCTCCAATCCAACGAGAAAACCAAAGCCCAGAAAGATGAACTTCCCTTAACCAATACTCATTATTGAGTACTTCCTACGTGCTGGGCACGGGGCACAGCCAAACATGGTCTCTGTCTCCATGGCATCCAGTGGCAACTCACTTGCTCAAAATCACACAACTATATGGGGCCAAGCTGAGACTAGACGCCAGTTTCTGGACCCTAAGTCAAGGCTCATGCCATCACACAATGGCCAGGTACACCTCTGGTGAGGACCTCCCAGGGTCCCCAGGGGATCTGGTATTCGGTTTCTGAGTCAAGGGACTTCCTTTCTGGGGCAATGGACCAGGATCCTTCACCTGGGGACTAAGTTGGGTGTATTTATTTCAGGAAGACAGACGTATCTCCAGGCATGGGTTGGTTTGATGGAAAGGGGAAAAAAGGGCACACATCCAGGCTATTCATGTTCACCTGAAGAGCGAGAACTCATCAGAATCCTGCTTACGGAAGAAGTATTTCTCGAAAGCTCACTTTGCTTTTTAAACTTCACTGAAAACCAAACCAAACCTGAAAAATGTGCATTCTGTCTACCATTTTTAAAAAAATTTGCATATCCTTTGACCTAGCAAGCCCTAGTGGGAATCAATCTTCCAGAAATAAAGGCAGCAGCATGTAAGGATATTTGCATAACATGTTATTGTTTGTAGTGGTAAACAACCCGTGAAACAACCTAAATGTCCATCTATAGGAAAATGATTACATAAATCTGGTTCTTTTACATAACTAAATATTATGCAGATGTTAAAAAATGAGTTAGAACCATATGCACTGACCTGGAGGGTGTCTGTAATATATTAATGGTACAAAATGCAAGTTGCATGTATCTATGTCTATATATATTATGATCCCATTTTTGTACAAAATAGGGGGAAACCCTGTAAGTTTATAGTAGCACAGAAAAAAAAACCACACGTGAAACAAATATATACCAAAGAATTAACACTGGTTATCTTAGACTAATGAGATTTGGGAGTTATGGGGAAGATTATTAATTTTATATTTGTACAAATGTCTGTACTATTTGACTTATAAAAAGCAATTGCTGGGGGACCAGCCCCGTGGCTGAGTAGTTCAAGTTCTGTGCACTCCGCTTTGATGGCCCAGGTTCGCAGGTTTAGATCCTATTCCACTCATCAGCCAGGCTGTGGAGGCATCCCACATACAAAGTAGAGGAAGATATTGCCAACAGATGTTAGCTGAGGGCGAATCTTCCTCACCACAAAAAAAAAAAAAAAAAAAGCAATTGTTAATTTCGTAATTTAAAAATCTTACAAACCTAAGCATTTTTCTTCTGAGGAAGATTCGCCCTGAGCTAACATCTGTGCCAATCGTCCTCTATTTTGTATGCGGGTCACCGCCACAGCATGACCACCAACAAGTGGTGAAGGTCTGCGCCAGGGAACCGAACCCAGGCTGCTGAAGGGGAGTGAGCTGAACTTAACCACTAGGCCACTGGGCTGGCCCCCTAAAGCTAAACATTTTTTAAAAGAATGAAAAAAACATCCTTGCATTCACATCTGATTTTTAACTCCTGGGATGAAAATTCCACTTCTTTCAGATAGACAAGGTGTGCATTTACGAAGATGATGAAATCCTTGGCACTGCTCTGCCAACAGGTAGCTCCAGCAAGGCAGCCACACTGGCCCACGCTGGCCACTCTCCTCTGGCTCCCGACCTCAGGACTTACCTCGATGCAGAGGCAGGTGGGCTCTCCCTTCTCTGTGACTGCACATTCCCGGCCAGCTCCACAAAACACATTGGCACAGATCATGGATTTGCTCCTTAGTTCTTCCTAAAACACAAAATCACAAAGGAAACCATGTCACTGAGATGAGCCCATCACGGGAGGAGCCAGTGGTGGTGATTACCTTTCAGGCTCGGGCCTTGGTCTGGAGTCGCGGCTCATGGGGTTGAAGGGTCCTGAACAGCCAGAAGCTGTCCCCAACGGTCAGTCCAGCCTTGCTGGCACTGTTGCAGCCTAGGCCCAGCTACCTCTGAGTCCCTGAGATTGTTTCTTGAAGAGCACGAGCTCATTGCTTGCATGCTTCCTTTCTCCTAAAAATGTTTATTGAGCACCCTTTATATGCCAACGCTACGCTAAGGACTGGAGATATAAAGGCACAGTGCCTGTCCTCACAAAGCTCCAGGGCTCTCTGAGGAAACAGCAATAAAGAGAGCTTTAGGAACGATTATGGAAGTGCAACAAGAGGAGTACCAGGGAGCTGGAGGGAGGAGGAGGAAGAGAATCAAATGAGACTTTCTCAAGATAGGACGCCTTAACTGATTCTTAAAGTAGGAGAAGAGTGAGCCAGGCAGAAATGGAAACATCTGAGAGATATCTGAAGGACCAAAACCTCACTGAGTAGCGTTCAAGGCAATATCATCTCAAAAAGCAAAAGGATGGCCAAACCATCGGAAACATGGCTCTGCTATTATTCAGTATGGTCTAATTCAGCCCCTGTCCACATCTGCTTCTGGCTTCGAGACAGAGGGCCAAACCACCTAAGAGATGGTAGAACTATCCTCAAACCACTTGTGGTCAGACATTTGTCTTCAGACATATGCAGCAGAACTGACAAGGCAGGGAATGGTCCCAGTCTATGCCACTGAAAATGTGGGTGTTGGGAGACACTAATTGTTGGTAATGCATTCTTTCCCTCACATTAATTGCTGGCAGAAAGCCAGCCCCACATTATTTGCCTCTCAGGCCAGCACTAGGGGGTGGCTGAATGAAGGAGAATGTGATTCCTCCAGCCTCTCTCCCTGACTGGATGGGCAAGCAGAGTCACCACAGGCTTCCAGGCTCCTGCCCTTGGGGGCAGCATTGGCTGTGACAAAACCAACAAAGATGGCAGGAGCTGTGATGGGGTCATGGGACTGGCTGAAGCAAAGGTGCGGATAGAACCTAAGATTCCGCCCTTCAGGCCATGTCTACCACGTCATGCAGAGAACTCACAGCCACGAAGCTTGCAACAGTAAAATTCTTATAGTCGGTAAATGTTTTATATCCAAGAATGGGTCAAAGAAAGGAAAAAACAAAGTAGATGTTCAGAGCTAAGGGGCTGTGTCCAATACAGCTGGTCTGCTGCCACACAGAGGCTGCTTTGCAAACTCCAGGTTATTATTTTCTCTCTGAGCCATCTTGCCTGTCATGCAGGGCTTCCATTGGTCTAGAAACCCTTGCCACGCTCACATTTCATTGGCTCACATGCTATTGCTAAACCCATTCTTTTTTGGATGTTGCTAAGGCGAATTCAATAAAGCTGGCAGGCAGCGAAGAAAAGAGGAAGTAATTCCCAGAAGGACTGGGAGAGCTGTTGTTTCCTAAATGAGGAGTGGAGATAAAATCGAGCATATTCTCTAAGCAGGGCCCTCTGAGAAACTCTGCCTGGGAGGGGAAAGCAGCTCTAAAAAGGAAGAGGAAAAGGCTATTGCCGATCAGTGTACAAAATCTCAGATAAGACGACCTTCTCCTCTCCCCTTCACGAAACAACACTCTAATGGAGGGATACAGACAAATCGATGCCCCTCTGTGGGTGTCACATGAGTTACAGACACACAAAGTCATAGAAAAGCACACTCAGACATACGCCTACACTCACAGACACACACAGCTCCACCGGCTGACACCCACAAACTTTTACCACTTAGTAGCTGTGTGTTTGTAACTAGTCACTTTAATTCTGTGAACCTCAGTTTCCTCACCTGTAAAACGTAAATACTAGCCCTGCCCTGTGAAGATGAAATGAGATAATATATTTGGAATTGCATCATAAACTGTAAACGAGCTGCCTGTGAAAGTGTTATTCATGTTAATGCTTCCCGAGCTTCTTGCAATCGCCTGTGGCATTTATAGAGCTTCCTTTCATCGTATGCTGTTTTTAGTGAGTGTTAAAAATACAAGCTCTTACCTATAGGTTGAATTCATCCCAAGTCATTTTTTAAAAAGAGTTGTCAAAAATCCATTTGAAGAAACAGATACTCCTTACCTAAAATATAAACTAATATTGACAGGCACAATTAAAATTTACAAAGTGTTTTCATACATACCATTTCATCTTGCACTGTGAACAGCCCTGCAAGAACACGTACACTGTGAACCCCATTTTACAGATGAGGAAACTGAAGATTGGAAAGGTCAAGTAACTTGCCCAAGGTCCCAAAGCTAAAAATGGGAGGAGCTTGGATTCCAACTCAGATCTTCAGACAACAGATGATTAAGCTCCCATTTATAAATACTGGGCACTCTATTAAGTGATTTTATTATCCATTATCTTATTCAAGCTCTACAACACCATAAGTTAGACATCCTAACTATCCCCATTCTACATGTGAGGAAACTGAGCCTTAGAGGTTAAATAACTAGACAGTGGCAGAGCTAGGATTCTACCCAACCAAAGGGAAAACCGTTCTTTTATATATTAATTTCATATCCAGAAGATTTAAGGTTAAGGAAATTATGATGGGGATTCGATTTGTATAATTAGCACATATTCGGAGAAAGTGCTTAAGAGTGTGTCAGAGAGTTAGACTTGAATTCCCACGTCCCCCCTCTGCCCCTCACTTGCCATGGTTGTGGGCAAGGCACTCTCTTTAAACCTCAGTTTCCTCATGTGGGAAATGGGAACACGAATCTCTCCGAGGGCTATGTGAGAGCTACATGAGTGTGCTGCACGTGGCAGAGTGCCTGCCACACCACTGGAAGCAGCCATTGTTACAGTGGGCATCGATTTTCAGACAACTTGCCCACTGAGATGCTGATGTCACCTGGGGCGGTCAGGTCCCCACCTCCCCTACACCAGAACGACAATACTGAGAGCAGGGGGACTGACTGCATGGAAAAAAGGAAGGGTATAATAACCCCCGCCATCCTGTTTGAAGACCACAGAGAAATGCTAGTTACACAAGCATTCCTCTTTGCAGGTGGCACATTTGTCAATAGGTGGCAATCTCTCTCTTTGTCTCGCAGAGCCCAGAGCCGCAATGCAGAAGGGCAGCCTTGGCTCCTGCGGCTCTTCCCAGCTCTGTCCTCCCAGTGAGATGCGGTGCGGGAGGTGGGAGAATGGGGTGGGCGCCCCACAGGCACAGGCAGCAGGGCCTAAGAACTGGAGATTTGCCGACTTGGGAAAAAATGTCTTACCGAAGCCCTCAGAGCCCTCCCCAATTCTTCCCATTCACAGGCATGCTTTAACGCAGACATCAACAACGAAGCAAATTCTCTCTCCAGAGGTGACCTCTTTGTGCCATTGAAAGCCCTTCTCCAAGCCCTATCTTCTCTGGGAGCTGGAGTTCAGGAGCGTCCCTGAGGCTCCTGGAAAGTTCCTTAGGGTGGGAAGTGGTCTTACCCGTCTGCTGAGTGACTGATTCTGAGTGGGGGAGAAGAACATCTTGAGAGGGGATGAGCATGGCATGAACATGCTTATGGGACAAGGCAATCGCTGCCTGGTAGGGAGGGGTGTGGCGAGGAAGAGAGAGATGAGGCAGGGCGGCAGGTGGCAGGGGGGCCGGTCTCGCCAGCTGGCCCAAGGGGCTGTCTGTGGATCTGATGGGCAGTGAGGACCTTGGGAAGTTTGGGATGGGGCAGGTGACATGATGAATGTGGTGCTTTGCAATATTAATTTGTGTCCAGTCCCTTCCAACTCGGAAATTCCAACTCAAAGTGCAGGGCAGCCTGGATGGAGAGAGGCTGGAGGCAGGGAAATGTGCCAGGGTGAGGCAGAGATCTTGTGTGTGTGTGTGTGGGGGTGGGGGGTGCCTAGGGCCTACGCTAATTTAATTACAGCATCTACAGCTGAGTGAGGCTCTTCACAGATACCTCTGTCCTCACAATGTCTGTGCAGGTTTCCCTATTTTCAGTCCATGTAACAGATGGGGAGGAATTTAAGATTCAGAAAAGTTCTGTGATGTAGAGGCCACATAACTAGTAAGAGCTGAGTCAGAATTGGAACACAAGGTCACCCTGACTCCAGAGCCTCGATATTTCTATGGGGAGAGTTCAAGGGAGCAAGCTGTGGAGAGAGGGTACAGCTATGAGGGCTGGCACAGGGAGAGGTCACTGGGCATAATGCCGTTCTCGTAAATGAAATAGAATTGTTTGCTTTACCACCATAACAATTTTAGAAATTAGGTGTCAAGACTGTATGAGAATTTCACCTATGTATAGACAACCACACTGGCATTTGAATATTCTCTGGGAGTGTGAGGTCACAGGTGTATGAACCCATAAGTCTGAATGTACCCGTGAGAGTGATTGAGTGGCGAGGTGGCATGTTCTGGAAGCGTGGACACCCTGATATACTGATAAAAATCAATGAAATACTTGCTTCCAGTGGAGAAACATCAGGTTTCGAGTTTTATCCTTCTGCATCATCTCCCTGACTTGCTTCTATGTTGTTTTCATTACGTGTTGCAAGCCATGCTCTGGGGGTTTGGTCTGATGGTTAATTTTCACAGTGCAAACTCCCCTTGGTAAAAGACTGACTGGGAACAGCAGTGACTTTTACCAGGGAAAGAAAAACTTGCTCTCTGAGCAACTGTCAGTCACTGCATGGTAATAACAATACTTTATACTTGTACAGCAATTTCCATTAGTCTGTAATTTTTGCTATTTTTTTTGATTCTGAAAACCTTTTAGGATAGGCAGGCAGGGGTTATCTCTAAGGCCCTTCCAGATGTAACATCCTATGATGAAGAAACCGAGGCTCACGGCTATCTGTGACTGGTCCAAGACCTCATGGTTGCAGAGCTGGGTCCTGGCCCGAGGTCTCCAGTCTTTAATTCCAGCCCTCTTTC